GCTGCTCACTCTTCAGTGAGGCATGAGCAGGCAGTGATGTCCTGGCATGATCCTGCAAATCACTCATGTGTGGGCCTGTCCAGCAATAGGACCCCTCGCCCTCTTTTCCTGTCCTCTCCCGTGGCCACCCCGCCACTCAGATAAGCCTCTGCAGTGAGTCTTTATAGCACTCCTGCTCTCACTCTCTGTGCTCCAGGTCCCAACCCCAATGCCTGCAGGCTACAGGAGTATGTCAGTACTTCAAATCCATCATCTTCCATCTTCCCCCCACTTATGAATTTTCCTAGACCCCATGTTTTCTGCAAAGGCATCATCTGCCCAACTAGGCTCCTATGCATAAAATCTTGGTGGGCATCCTGACCTTGCCCCTCTCTTGGCCCTCAGAATCTCCTCGGAATCTCTTCTGTCAGCCTCACCTCCACTCTCACTGTCCCCACGTAAGTTCAGGCCTGTGATGCCTCCCAGAACCCCCACTCTTCCTGTCCTAACCTGTCCCCACTCAAACAAGTCACCCCAAAGAGTCCAATGGGCTCCCTTAGCACCCTACAGGAACCCAGTAAACCTACTGTGGCACTTGCTCTACTGTGCTGGATTTGCCCACTCACTGCTCGGGTTCACTTAGTACTGGAAGGCAGAGAGTAAGTTGCAAGGTCTTATGCACAGATACAAGCCACTTCTTATACAGTATGTGTTCAGTATATATTTGCTAGGTAATTACTGCAAAACACACAGTTCTTTCTTCTACTAACTGTGTCCTACCCTAGTTCGATCTCTACACCATTCCCAAATTTTTCTTCAATATTCCTAAAGCACATCCTATTCAGGTTAGTCCCCTGAGCAAAAGCCCCTGGAGAGCTTTTTACTGATAAGCTAGAAACTACTAAACTTCTTAGGTAACCATTCAAAAGCCACCCAGAATCTAGGCTTTCAACCCCGTTCTAAAGCCGCCTGCTCCCCACCTCGCTTCCCTTCTGCCTGACTTGGCGCAGGCTGACCCTTCCTGTGCACTGTCCTTCCCACCACTTCCACACGTCCCAACATGTCTACGTCAGCCGCCACCCCTCAAGAACCCAAGACAGATGAGGGCCCTCTCCTGGCTCTCAGCTCCCCCTGCCTCTTCCCCTACCTCTCCTCTCTTTTTATAATAAAATCATTCATATTTTCCATGACAGACATGTTTTAAAGACAGCAAAACTCACCTATATTTAAAACTGTCCCAAAGACTCTCTTACAAGTACCACTCTATAATCCACCCAATTCACTGAGTGACCATGTTCTAAGGCCAACAAAAAATAAAACAAAACAAAAATAGCCACCCAAAATCAGTGAGATGCTCACACTTACAAGGCACTGGAGGAAACAGACACCATCCTCATTTTCACTCGATCATCAACTACAGCAGTTAAATCACCGCCACCTCCAACTCTTTCTAACATCTGTTAAACTTGGTACGATTGACCCACTGCACCTTCCATTAGTGTTGTTTATGGACAGCTCACACATTGCTTACCTGACTGTAAGCTCCTTGGGGAGAAAAGCTTCTGTGATCCAACTGATATGAGCTTTGTTTAATTAACACATCATTTGAACTAGATCCTTTGGGCAAATCCTTACATTTTACCTTCCACAGAACCACTAAGAGAGTTCTGAAGCCACTTTCAGCTCTAATGCTGTCGGATTCTATGAAATCAGTGTCTAGCCCTTGTGGGCTGAAAGATGAACAGACATACACATGCCCCAAGTGCAGACAGGCTAACCCCACACTAATCCCAGAGCTCAGACAGCCCCTGTCCTGTCAACGAGCAAGTCATTCAAAATGGTCTTCTATTTTTTTTAAGGTTATCTTACATTAGCAATTTCATTACTGATTAAATAAAGGCAGTACAATGTTCATGTTCTTATTATATTACAACATATCTTCTAACAAAACTTTCCACACCCCCAAATTCCATCACACCAACTATTTCTTTATAAACTTTCTTTGATAAGCTTTTGTTTCCACGTGTTTCTTCTTTTACTTGACCCTCTCCTTTTTTATAGGCTTTGAGAGAGTTCAGATTAAAACCCTTCTTAGCATCCCAGGTTCAAGGTCATCCTGATGGCTTCTGTGCTAACCCTTCACAGTCCTGCCCCCTGGCATTTCTCTCTTCTCCCAGATCAATCCCCTCATTCCAATGCTAGTATTCCTTGCTGCAGTTCAATTCGGCAACTTATTTTCTTCCCCTTTTTTATGTTTCTTTTTATTAGCCCTAGACTGGGATAAAAATTCTGTAACATCCTTAACTAAAGTGCTCTAGTGTTAAATCAACTTTTATAATTACATCATATTTATATCCAGCAACGGATTATGTCCACATTCCCAGCTCCCATAGGATGGATCTGGAAATTAATGCTTTGAGGAATACTCCTTTTTCCCAATCCCACCCCTAAAATATGTCAGTGATAGAGGGCAAAATAGGCAAGCTTAAACAGACAAACATTTCCATACATAAGAAACATTAAGCAATAAATGGGACTGACGTTGGGACCTGCTGGGCTCTGAGCCTAGAAGCCCTCAGCCAGGGAGCCCGGGCTCCAGCAAGGGAACAGGAACTGAGGAGCCTCACACAGGTTCACCAGGGGCCAGGCAGGTCTCCTCTCCCCACTCCTTCATGTCATGGTCAGCACCACTGGGGGAGAACGAGGTTTCCACTGTAAGGTCTGGTTCTGGACTAGATTCAAGACAGGAAAATGCAAAATCACAGAAACGGAGAGAAAGAGAGAGGGAAGAAAATCGTAAAAGATTCCAAATGAAAAGAGAACACTGAAGAGAGACTTTAAGATAAACATGTTAGGGTTCTCAAATGATTTAAATGAAAAAAACATTTTAAAACATACACATAAAAGAAATTAAAAACCAAAAATAGGCAGAAATGAGCCAAATAGATATTTTAGAAGTAAAATTGTTACAATAAAAATTCAACACAAACAGGGCCAGCCCGTGGTTCACTTGGGAGAGCGTGGTTCTGACAACACCAAGCCACGGGTTAAGATCCTCTTACCGGTCATCTTTAAAAAAAAAAAAATTCAACACAAACAGGGCCAGCCCGTGGTTCACTTGGGAGAGCGTGGTGCTGACAACACCAAGCCAAGGGTTAAGATCCTCTTACCGGTCATCTTTAAAAAAAAAAAAATTCAACACAAACACACGACTGTACACAAAGAATCGGTAAACTGGAAAATACTGGGGGTTTATTCAGAAGGTAGCACCAGAAAAAGATATCCAAATCAGGAGAAAGCACTTAAAGAAAAATGGAGAGACTGAGAGGCATTGGGTGCATGATAAACAGAAGTTCAAGGAAGAGCTGAGAGCAAAATACACCGCTTTTGAGATGTACAAAGGATACGACAGTAACCATCCACAGATCCTTGGTGTATTTTTAAAGAAAACTGAGAGGGAAGGAGAAAGATGCAAGAAACAACAGGGAGTACAAAAACTGATAACACATGTTGGTGAATTTAAATATCACAATTTGAATGCTAAAATAAGTGAATCTAAAATTCTAAACCATAATGACAAGGCAGGTGGGTGGCTAAGATATGCACAAATTCTTTTCTCTGAAGTGAAGGAGGGTGAGAGTGAATAATCCACTGGGCTCTAAGGCAAAAAAGAAAAAAAAAAAAGCCACAACAGAGACGAGTCAATACCCACGCATGAAACTTTCCTTTTCATTCTTCAAGACGATCTAATTTAAACTTGAACAACTGACTAATGAATAAAGTATACTGTCCCTTGCTTTAGAAAACCTGTGTCAACAATAAGCCTCCATCATTACAAAAAATCCAGCTTCAAAATTTCATTTTACAGGAAAAAAGAAAATAGTAATGCCAGTTGTAAAATCAGTTGAACACCTCTCTGCAAATTAATACAGTAAAAATTAAACTGTGAACACAAGTAGCCAGCCACATTCACGTCTTTCTTACTGAGTAACGCCATGGTGAGGCAAATTCCAGAACCGTGTTTTTTTTGTTGTTGTTGTTTTTCCTTTTTTTTTTTTGTCTTTTTTCATGACCGGTAACGGGATCGCAACCCTTGGTGTTGCGCCCGCACCACGCTAAACCAGTGAGCGGACCGGTCTCTATATGGGATCCGAACCCTTGGCAGGAGCGCCGCTGCACTCCCAAGCGCCGCACTCTACCGAGTGTGCTGCTGGGCCGGCCCCAGAACCGTGTTTTAAGAAATCCTACATGGGATCCGAACCCTTGGCAGGAGCGCCACTGCACTCCCAAGCGCCGCACTCTACCGAGTGTGCTGCTGGGCCGGCCCCAGAACCGTGTTTTAAGAAATCCTAGAATAGTATTCTTGCCATTAACCACATTTCTGATATCAACAGAAAAACACCCCAAGGCAAGTTCTCTCTAAGGGGCTTTTATTTCTTTTTTAAACCAACACTTTATAGGTAACTTTATACACATAAGTCATAATCCTATATCTGGGAAAAATATCAGAATTGAATTCTGATCATGTGTAATCATCCTTATCTGACTGATATCACTTTTCAGATAAAACTACCTCTATCTTAGCTGCCGCCGCCATAATACCATGCACGAACAATTTGGGTTCCAAATAATAAGTCATTCATCCTCCCACCTTACAAGATGAGTCTGAAGTTGGGTTACATGTTACTTCATAAGAGCATGTTTTTGCAGATAAAACCAAGACTTCGACATCCTACAGTATACTGTAAGCACTAGGCTAGGTTTAAAACATTCATAGCAATGCACACTTCCTTCCTGGAGTTAATCCCATCAGGTGACTCCAGGCTGAGAGCAGGGCTGACCCCCAATGGTTAGCCTAAAAACTATCACACCTGAAAAGCATTTATTTTATTTTTTTTCAAATACCTTAACCTTCACTGAAAACATAAGTATTAAAGCCAATCCATACAGAAACTGTTGATTCCATACAAAAACTACTTTAGAGTGATTTAAGAAGAAAGGAAGACAGAGAATACTATTACCGGAAGAGTAAAGAAAGCAGGGTGCTTTGCTTCGTCTTCATATTTGCCTTCCGTTGAACTTCCGGCCTCCATTGATTTGGACGTGGTGTTCTTACCAATACCCATCATTAAGACAGCACAAGCAGTCTCCGTCGTGAGACTGGAGTGGCTGGAAGTGAGGGCTTACTCAACAAGGAGCCCAGGGTCAGAGTCGGCCCTTCCAGTGTCTGGAGCACCCGATTCTTAGGCAGAGATGAGATCCGCAAACACCATCTCTTAGCACCTAGAGGGAGTGCAGCCAATCACCTAGAAGCACACAAACAACAAAGGACACATGGTCATCAAGTTTCCTGCACAGAAAAAAGTCATATTACAAGTTACACCCAAACATCCAAATATATATCTCCTAATTACGCTTTTCAAGTACCCACCCTCTCTTCATTTACAGTCATCCAGATTCTGAATTGCCCCTTGGAGAGGGGGACCACTGAACTGAATTATCAAAAATAAGACAATCCTAGGGAGAAAAAAATAGTCAAGGTATGTCTCTGACATGCATTATGGTACGTATCTTATAACCCAGAACTACTTTACAGAACTTTCTGCAATGAGAGAAATGTTCTGTATCTGCCCTGTCCAATAGAGTCATCACTAGCCACATATGGCTACTGAGCACTTGAAATGTGGCTAATGCAAATGCATTTTAATTGTACTTAATTTTAATTAATTAAAATTTAAATAGCCACTTGCAGCTAAGCTACTACACTGGACAATGAAAATATAGCCATTTTACCACGACTAGAGGGATATTAAAATAACTGTGAATTCCCTACATGTGCCCAATTAAAGGGAGGGGAACACTCTAAAGCATTAAAAGGAGGTGACAAAGCCAACCTAGAATTAAATGGCCATACAGGAATTCCAGGAAGGCAGCAAGATGAGCTTTAAATGGGCTAGAATGCCACCAAAAAAAAAAAAAAGAGAGAGAGAGCGCCAAAACATTCAATATCAATCAAATGCAGTATCAATCAAATGACAACATAAACCTAAAAAAGAAACTCAATCTCCCCCACCAGCTAAAGAGAGGTAAAGTGACAAGAGACAAGATGGGATGGGAGGTTGGGAATCAACACTACTAGACCCAGGATGGATCTGACATGTCCAGAGAATCTCAGAGGCTCTAACATTATTTAAGAAAGAAACAGCATAATACCCCAAAGTCTAAGGAAAAGCCAAAAGCAGGAAACTTCCAGAATAATTCTATGGAGCCAAGTTTCAGTGAAGCAGCAGAAAATTAAAAACTCAATTTCAAACAATGGAGGTACATATGACCTGGGAAATCAAAGTGATCCACCCTAAGATTAACAAATGTTTGGAGAACTAGGCTTCAGAAGTGAGAGGGCACAAAGGATCCCTACAGGGGTTGGCACACATACAATAAAACATGCCTAGGTATGCCTGAGTTCTTGTAAAGAAAAAATTAACGTAAGCAGATTGGGGTGGGAAGGGCAGAGGACATTTACTGGCACTCCAATTAGGGTGATGTGAGATCTTACTACCAATTAATTTCCCACCAGAAATGAATAACCCAACCAAGCTGTCCTGCAAATATCAAGACAGGCCTGCAACAAGTTTAGAAATACAAGTAGAAAACTTTCTGTTCAAGGCATTCTTCATGGGATACTTTTCATTCCACAAATACTTTGGATGAGCCAGGGGGTTAAAATGAAATGTAAACAAATAAGAAAAGACAAAGAATTACTGTATACAAAATTTGAGAGTTCAGTAGTCAGAGAGCAAAAAGAAAAAACATCAATGGAATGGAGATAGCTAAGTATACACGTCAAATTCTTCAGAAATGGCTATTCTGGTTTACATACAGATTGCACATTTTGCATTTTTGTTGATATCATATCAGCATTTGTTTAAAGCAGTGGTTCTCAACCTGAATTGATTCTGCTCTCCAGGGGACATCTGGCAATGTCTGGAGATATTTGGCCATCATAACTAGGGACAACGACTACCATCTATTAGGTAGAGGCCAGGGGTGCTGTTAAACATCCCACAATGCATAGGACACACCACACAATACACAATAATCCGGCCCAAAATATCAATAGTGCCAAAATTGAAAAACTCTAGTTTAAAGATATTTCCCTCTTCCCGAAAATGGCATCCCACATGTGCATGTTGATCGTTAGTACAAGATCAGGTCCTACAAGGGATACACATGCCAGTTTGAGAAGCAGGGACATGTATATCAACACACAGAGCAATGCCCATCAAGGAACAAGTCTATGGGACTTACTGCAGCTTAGTCACTTTTTAAATAATTTTCCCTTTTCAAGAACAGGGACAAATAGATCATTATATATTTTTTCTAATCTTTTCTGTTGCTTGTAGGTGCTATAAGGACCCATTTTACTATGTAGTTTCCAATTCATAAAAGGGGAGACTTCCTAGGGCCGGCCCGGTGGTGCACTGCTACAGTACACCGCTTGGGAAGCGCAGCGGTGCTCCCGCCGAGGGTTCGGATCCCACATACAGACCGGCCGCTCACTGGCTGAGCGAGGTGTGGGGGCAACACTGAGGGTTGCGATCCCGTTGCCGGTCCCAGTCCGGGCGCGACACTGAGGGTTGCGATCCGTTGCTGGTCACAAAAAAAGAGACAAAAAGGAAAAAAAAAAAAAGGGAGACTTCCTATATTTGGAGGAAACCCTAAAGGCTCTTCTTATAGCACTGACAGAGATGGTGTATGTTAATTACTTAAAATTAACCTTTTTCCTATATTCTTATTTAAAATGTTTTATGACAATCAAAAAAAAAAAAAAACAATTCCTAGCAGAAATAAAGTTTGCAAAGAGGCAGGAGTGTCTGCTCATCTGCTATGGTGGCTGGTGGGAGTCCTACTTTGTGTGGCTACTCAGGTTCCTATGACTAGAGACCTTTTCTTGAACTCGTTACTGGTCCTTTCCTTAAACATTTCATCTTCACCATCAGCACGGTTTGTCTTCCTCCTGAAGCACTTGGACATGTCTGTCAGTGATTCTCTGTCTTTCTCAGACTCTACCCTTCACCAGGCCTCCCATACCTGACACGCCACAGTGCTCAGCTTGCTGACCTGTGGTCAGGACACCACCAACAGATAAGTCCAATCATGCCAGCTTCCTGTCACCGTCAAGAGTATTCAGGCCCGCCAAAATGAAGCAGACAAAACCCAGCCATGTACCAAGATGTCTCAGAGAAGCAGGAAAATGGGTCAACGAGCAGTTCCCTCTGCAGGAGTTAGCAGCACATTAAGCCAGGACCAATTAGTCCCTGGAGGGCACCGAGATGAGAGGTTGCATTCAATTCAGCAGAAAAAAGAAGAGAACCTCAGAAGTTCCAAAGAGGATAAGGATAATGGTCAAACTTGTGCTTGGGCAAGGAACTTCCTTACTATGTGAAGATGTGTAGAAGATGAAGAGGAGGTGGGAAGATGAGAAGCCTGGCGTGTCTGCACATGAGAACTGGGGACTGTGGGCGGTAAGAGAGAAACTAGAGAGTGGAACAGAATTAGTATCCACTTGTGTAGAGGGCACAGGGGAAAGGGCCCTGAGGTCTCTAACCTGGGAGTCTGAAAATCATGATAATTTATAATAATGTTTATTTTATTTCAGATTATGAAAACACTGCAGAGACTTCTTTGGAATATGAAAGCATACGTCACATTCAAAAACCCCCTCTGCAATCTCCATCAAAATGAACCAAAACAGAGAGAACAATATACCTACTTAGCAACTAAGAAAGGCCCCAACCTCAGAAAGCTTGGTGGAGAGCACCTCCATGCCCAGCCCTGCACACACAAGAAGTGACCCCAGCACTGGCACCCAGGCCTCACAAAGTGGGGGTGGGGGACTGATGGACATCAGAGGGGAATGATCAAGCAGAAAGCAGACCAAGCTGGGCAGTCAGAGTGGAGTTAACACCCCGTGAGGTAAAACTAATGCAGGGACCAGGAGTGTGCCTTTAAAATAACTCTAATTCCTACCCACAGGGGAATTCAAGCAAAAGTAGTAACTAGAGGACCAAAAGAGTTCGTGGAAATTAAACATGACTGCCAAAATAAATCTCCTGGCAGATGTGCAGCTGGAAACCATACTTGTAAATTATTAGAACAATTCTGCAAACTATTCTTAGAGCCAGAAGAACCAATACCTGTATAAGAGGAGTTCCCAGACACAATAACAGGGCAGACGGATAAGGAGACAAAGAAATGACAGACTTGGGTCTTCAAACACACTGGACATCTCAAGCACTGGGGAAAAGTACTGAAAGAGGAAACAAGTGGCACAGCTTGGTGAAATGTCTGAATTGTAAAGATTTAAAATTCTGAAACTTGTCAGAAAAAAAACAAAATCATACAAACCAAAACAGACTACTTACAAAAGTAAAGATAATTAACATTAGACTTCTCTTCGTTAACAGCAAAAACTACAAGAAAAAGTGATGTTTACAGCATTCTGCAGGGAACGAATGCACATCCTAAAATGCCCCATCCAGACAACGCTCAGTGGTCAAACCACCCTTCAACAGCCTCCACTGCCTACACTATCATACACACATGTCCTAACTGACTCATCAAAACTGTGCTATTTAACAGCAATACGACGTGCCACTGCAGGGATCAGTACAACCCTGCTGACGGTCATTTGGGAGACATGTTTATAACAATTATAAATAATGCTGGCGTGTAACAAATCCTTTGCATGCCCCTGATTCCTTGGAATAGAGTCCCCAAGGAGGAATTACTGATTAAAGAGTGGAAGATTTGAAGGTTCTGAGACATCAAACTAACTTTCCAGAAACTTTCTGTTCTGGCAGTCCCACCAGCAGCAAATTTGTCCATACCATCAATGTTTGATAGCCCGTACTATAAAATCTGTTTCAGTGGATAACTTCTCAGAGATTTTGCTGTGTGTTGGAGAGTTTTTCTGTCTGTCGGCAAGCACGGAACCTCTTTTGTACTTTATCCTTATGCCCTTTGCCTACTTTCTACTCTACAGTGTTTGTAAAACTTTTTTTCTGTCGGCAAGCACGGAACCTCTTTTGTACTTTATCCTTATGCCCTTTGCCTACTTTCTACAGTGTTTGTAAAACTTTTTTTTTGACAGTGACTTGTGGGTTTTATTCAAATCTGCAGTATTTGGTAACATAGATGAGCTGTCCAACTCAGCCTCTGAAGTAGCACAAATGTGTAGGTTGTAAATACCTTACATGACGTCCATCGTGTCAGCCTCAAGGTGCTTAGGATTTTTCTCTCAAAT